AGCACACTGTACTAATCATCCTTCTACCTCCATACTAAATTCTGCTTGGCCAAGCTTTCCAGGACCTTACATTTTCAGATACAGCACTATAAGGTTTGCTGCTATGCTTGAACTTTTTTTTGGTAGAGAATTCGTGCAGAAATGTATCTATCGTCATACCCTCAGGTATTGAGTACCACCTCTGTTTCATGACACAATCCATTACAGTTCAGAAAAATTATAAAGCGCTCTGTAAAAAAAAAAAAATTATATTGCACCCTCATGCAGTTTGCAATTCTGAATAAAAAATAGTGTCTGTGTGTGCAAAGTCTTTATCCATTTCATTGCCGAGCTACGCAAGTCTAAAACAAGTCTCTTATCGTATGCTGCAATATGGACTTCTGTTCTGCTGGGGGTAAGCCATGCCATTAAAAAGCAATCTGTCAAGAAGGTTTCAAGCTGGTTACACTTTGCAGTTATGTCAAGCTATCAGCAAAATGATCAGAAAAAACAGTAACGTGCAACTTGAAGTTTACTGTAGGAATGCAAGATAAACTGACATGGCCAAATAAAAACTGGCAGAGGGATATATAACAAACATAAAACAAAGTATAACAGGATGTGAATCTACTGTAGTACAGGGCTAACTTGGAGTAGTTCTTGCAAAGGCTCCTAGGTGGCAGCACAATACAGTAAAGCAGTATCTAAGACAACAGACTGTAGGAAGAAATCATTACTTATAAATAGCACAGTATCCTTCAGTAACAGTTACTTTGGTTCCCTGGGGAAGGGGGGAAAGGTGGACCTTGCTATACCTCTCTCAAAAGTAGCTGATAGCCTGGGTGGTCAACCACAGAGATCTCTGAACAGGCTCCGCAGAGGGAAGGAGGAAGGAGCCTCTGGTCTGGATGTCAATATAGTAACAGAAGTCCCAGGAATGGGTGTACAATGAAGCTTGCTGTAGCTGGTAGCCTTGGTGGTCAACCACAGGGGTCTATGGTTTGGCTCCACAGAGGGAAGGAGGAAGGAGCATGTGGTCTGGATGGCCATGTAGCAGAAGAAGTTCCAGGAATGGGTGTACAATGAAGCTTGGTGTAGCTGGTATCCTGGGTGGTCAACCACAGAGATCTATGGACTGGCTCCACAGAGGGGAGTAGGAAAGAGCCTCTGGTCTAGATGTCCATGTAGTGGCAGAAGTTCCAGGAATGGGTGTACAATGAAGCTTGGTGTAGCTGGTATCCTGGGTGGTCAACCACAGAGATCTATGGACTGGCTCCACAGAGGGGAGTAGGAAGGAGCCTCTGGTCTAGATGTCCATGTAGTGGCAGAAGTCCCAGGAATGGGTGCACAATGAAGCTTGGTGTAGCTGGTATTCTGGGTGGTCAACCATAGAGATCTATGGATGGAGAGGGGAGGAGGAAGGAGCCACTGGTCTGGATGTCCACATAAGAAGGAATAATGAATGGTAAGCCAGGGTGGTCAACCAGAGATCTCTGGCTCCACAGAAGGAAGAAGTAAAGAGTCTGATATACTGTAGATGTCCATGTAGCAGCATAGGTCCTAGGGATGGGTGTACAAGGAGGCTGGCTGTAGCTGGTACTGGTGTATATCTGCATACAGCTATTGAATTCTATGTACACAGCACCTATTGCTCCCAGGCGGGGAAATATGTACACATTTTACGTTCTACAGCCCCAGGCACCCATATGCATGAGGCCTACCTCTTGCTCTGGGTATTTACATAAAGCTTTGGATTTCCCTTCACTTTCTTAGTGATAATAGTCAGCAGTAAATATAGAGGGGTTGATCTCCCTAGTGGGGACACAGACAGCATTAAACACTGGGCAGAGGGTCTAACCCTTCCCCACTATATCAAAATTAAACAGAGTAAAAATAGGTTTTGCCTAGAGATACACTTTAATGTCAGCAGAGACAGTGCTTTGCTTAGAGGCAGAGCTGTGTAAATCCCAGGACTGGATGGATAGACATATCAAATCTGTTGGCAGGTAAAACATTAGCTGTTTTTCTGGAGCTCAGCATAAGCTACTAAAAGTCAGAGGTGAGTGTGGCAATTGTGCAGACTCTATAGCTGCATGTACAACTTTGAGTATGTATATTTTGTTTCCATGGCCGTGGAAGCTGCAGTGCTAGCTCTCTAGTTTGCATGCTTTTCAAGAGTATGCATTTAATGAAGAAGAGAATTCCAGGATAATCATCTCCCTGTTAAATAGAAGCAGTGCACTACTGTCTGTGTTCATTTACTTACAGCCCCACATTTCACACTCCAATAAGTTTACTAGAATTGCTACTTAGGGAATTCAATGTAATACACACACTGACTGAAGTTATTTTATCCGTTTGGTTCCACAGAAATTGCTTAGTGTTTTGCCATGAATTGAGATTCACAAAATCCAAAAACCCTTCCTGGGGAGCATTGAATATCAGTGATATGTCCATGTTCTATATTTATTTATTTCAGGTACTTATAAAGCGCTATCAATTTATGCAGCACTTTACATATATATTGTACATTCACATCAGTCCCTAACCCTCAAGGGGAGTACAATCTAAGGTTCCTAACTCACATTCATACATACACATACTAGGGACAATTTAGACAGGAGCCAATTAACCTACCAGCATGTCTTTGGAGAGCGGGAGGAAACCAGAGTACATGGAGGAAACCCACGCAGGCACAGGGAGAACATGCAAAGTACAGGCAGGTGGTGTTGTGGTTGGGATTTGAACCAATGACCCTAGTACTGCCAGGCGGAAGTGCTAACCATTTAGCATATAAGCCTCACACAGGTGAAATCACAATACAGCATGTACAGTGGGGATCGAAAGTTTGGGCACCCCAGACAAAAATTTGTATTAATGTGCATAAAGAAGCCAAGGAAAGACGGAAAAATCTCCAAAAGGCATCAAATTACAGATTAGACATTCTTATAATATGTCAACAAAAGTTAGATTTTATTTCCATCATTTACGCTTTCAAAATAACAGAAAACAAAAAATGGCGTCTGCAAAAGTTTGGGCACCCTGCAGAATTTATAGCATGCACTGCCCCCTTTGCCAAGCTGAGACCTGCCAGTGTCATGGATTGTTCTCAATCATCGTCTGGGAAGACCAGGTGATGTCAATCTCAAAGGTTTTAAATGCCCAGACTCATCTGACCTTGCCCCAACAATCAGCACCATGGGTTCTTCTAAGCAGTTGTCTAGAAAACTGAAACTGAAAATAGTTGACGCTCACAAAGCTGGAGAAGGCCATAAGAAGATAGCAAAGCGTTTTCAGATGTCAGTATCCTCTGTTCGGAATGTAATTAAGAAATGGCAGTCATCAGGAACAGTGGAAGTTAAAGCAAGATCTGGAAGACCAAGAAAAATATCAGACAGAACAGCTCGCAAGATTGTGAGAAAAACAATTCAAAACCCACGTTTGACTGCACGATCCCTCCAGAAAGATCTGGCAGACACTGGAGTTGTGGTACACTATTCCACTATAAAGAGATACTTGTACAAATATGGTCTTCATGGAAGAGTCATCAGAAGAAAACCTCTTCTACGTCTTCACCACAAAAATCATCCTTTGAACTTTGCAAATGAACATATAGACAAGCCTGATGCATTTGGAAACAAGTTCTGGGGACCGATGAGGTTAAAATTGAACTTTTTGTCCAGAATGAGCAAAGGTACGTTTTGGAGAAGAAGGGGCACAGAATTTAATGAAAAGAACCTCTGTCCAACTGTTAAGCATAGGGTTGGATCAATCATGCTTTGGGGTTGTGTTGCAGCCAGTGGCACATGGAACATCTGACGAGTAGAAGGGAAAATGGATTCAATAAAATTTCAGCAAATTTTGGATGGTAACTTGATGCCATCTGTGAAAAAGCTGAAGTTAAAGAGAGGATGGCTTCTACAAATGGATAATGATCCTAAACACACCTCGAAATCCACGGGGGATTACATCAAAAGGCGTAAACTGAAGGTTTTGCCATGGCCTTCACAAACTCCTGACCTCAACATAATTGAAAATCTATGGATAGACCTTAAAAGAGCAGTGCGTGACAGACAGCCCAGAAATCTCAAAGAACTGGAAGACTTTTGTAAGGAAGAATGGGCAAAGATACCTCAAACAAGAATTGAAAGACTCTTGGCTGGCTACAAAAAGCATTTACAAGCTGTGATACTTGCCAAAGGGGGCAGTGCAAGATATTAACTCTGCAGGGTGCCAAAACGTTTGCAGACGCCATTTTTTTGTTTTCTGTTATTTTGAAAGTGTAAATGATGGAAATAAAATCTAACTTTTGTTGACATATTATAAGAATGTCTAATCTGTAATTTGATGCCTTTTGGAGATTTTTCCATCTTTCCTTGGCTTCTTTATGCACATTAATACAAATTTTTAGCTGGGGTGCCCAAACTTTTGATCCCCACTGTACATGGTCATTAACAGGCAAAATGCAGAAATCCATAATGATAAATCTGATTTCAATTATGTATAGTACAAGATGAAGACTAATTGGATAGAATGTGTTACTGTGTTAGTGCATAGAGCTCAGTGGGCATTTACAATGACCTGTGCTCAGTACCAGGACAAGGTCGAGGGTGCCAAAGTGAATCCCCCCACTGCAAGTTCTGCCATTTAGTGCTACAAAAAAATAGACATTAAAAAAGGTTAAAAAAAAGAAAAAAAAAAACAGCTAAGGACAAACCATCAAAAAAAGAAAAAAATGAGCATTAATAAAACCTAATTAGGGTCCACTAAGGGCAAATAAGAGGCTAAAATGTTTAAAAACGTTTTGTCTTTCTTTATTCTCACGTAACAGTAAATCATGAATGACAGCTACAATAGTAGGGCTCATGTACACTGCAGCTGATAAACTCACATTTAGGAGCTGTTCAGCGTTTTTTTTTTCAGCAGCCCCTGAACTCTCCCTAATGTTTTCCTATGTGTCCATGTACACATCTTAGTTTACAGTCGTTTACAGGCAGTTGAGTTTACAGTCGTTTTTTTGAATGCAGAAAACTTGCGTTCAGTAGTCGATTTTACCAGCGTTTCAAATGCAAAAAGCTCGTAAACACGGCTAGATGTAGAAAACCGCGTTTATAAGCGTTTCCGTCTGAAAATTTGTTATAACGCTTCCAGTTCCAGAGCCTTTTTTCAACATGAAAAATGCATGCAAAGCGTTTTCAATGTATTCAGATGGACAAAACACAAAACAGGATGTTCCTACCAAGCTTGTCACACATTGTAATGACCAATTCACACCTCAGACCTCTCCCACCCTTGCAAACAAAAGATATGTTAATTACCATTCACAAATTCCTCATGAAGACCCCCTGCCAAGCAGCCTTAATGACTCACTCCATCAGACACCTTTCCCACCCTTGGAAACAAAAAAAAATGTTAATGAGCAACTCACACCTAAGCTAATAACACATACTGCTGTCTCTGCTTCTACTCTCTGTATTTCTCTGAAACAGTCTGAAATAGTTAATAATTTACCACTTTTCAGTGCATTCTGGGCATTTGGGAGGTTCTTCTGTGCTTATCTTTAAAAAACATTTCTAAATGCTAACGCACATAAACATGCATAAACGCATTATGCAAAACGCGGCTAAACTGAGGTTTTTTAACCTACGTTTTCCAGCAGTCAGTTTCTATTGTTCAGAAGTGTCCCGTGTACATGGGGCCTAAAACTAACAGAGAAGAGAGAACCTGGCTCTCCCGTGTAATGACTGGAGCTCCATGACCCTGTGATCTGCTTGTAGAATGGGCAGCTATCACCCTAACAGCGGAGTGGAATTCCACTGGCTAAATGGGGAGAGCCTTCATCTCCCTGTGCAATCTGCAGTACCAAGGTGTCAATTTGACAGGTCAGTCCTGCACAGTTCATGACAAGTTTGGGTGATGAACAGGCAGAGGCTTCCACTGCGCTTCCTGCAGCATGGTGCCCAAGGCAGGTGCCTCTTCTGCTTCAGCCTGGTTCTTCCTGTGACAGACCCTGGGTGGAGCAGGTTTAAATGACACAGAAGGCCCACGGACACCTGCCTAGGTCACCTTATGAGTGATTTGGCTTTGACACTTATACAGAATCGAATACAGAGACCAGTTTTGGTGGAAGACAGTAAACCAATATGAAGTGGTTGGACATCCCATTTTAAAACCATTAGCATTATTATGGACTTGTACCCCCCCCCCCAAACACAATTTACTTGTTGTTATGGGATGCATTCACCTGTAATGTTGTGCCAGCTTACACAGGACTAGAGTAAAGAAGATCAAGCCAGTTGGCTGCCACTGCCTGGCCATCCCCAACACCTTCAATGTATTCCCTTGTCCCCCTAAAAAACTCACTACACATAGCATTTAATGGCAATAGCGGATTTTTCTTATACGCTTCAAACACATCTTCAAACTTCAACCACATCTAAGTAAAAGTTCAACAATAGAGTGAGGTTAGGATTGAAGGTTTATGTAGGGTTTTGAAAAATGGAACAAGATCCTTGTATCTGCTGAACACCTTTCAACAATAGCCCTACACACCGCCATTCAGTGACGATTGCTCAAACTGACCGCAGACACATTTTGATCCATCAAATACTAGATTACTGCAAGTTGACCAGACTGATGATCATATCCATGATGGGTCCCTGTTTCCCATCACCACCAAAACTGACCACCTTTGAAGACCCATCAACCTGTGTAGTTGCAAACAATGGTAATCCTGTTTCTGGTAATACAGGGTAGGTGTTAGGTTCAAATGAAGCTGCTTTAACTCTGCCTTCGGACAACCCTGGAGCCCCTCTCTGCCAGGTTCCAGTTGCCCAATCAGGTAAGTGCCTGTTCAACCCTTTAACTACTTGGCCTGTCTCCCATTCCGTTGTGAGGGCTCTGCTCCTATATTTGGTCTATCCTTCCATAACTGTGATAACTGTAGATGGCGGTGTTCAGGAACATTCATTGTGTATCCTTCACTTTTGCAATTGATTTCATTATGTAAGTATAAATTGTCTTGGTGGTAACATCTAGAGTGAAGTTAGTGCAACTACAATTTGCGATTTTCATGTCTGTTAGTGCTACAATCCAGATTACCTGCATGTTGGAGTAATGCAGGCCATAGACAGGTCGCTTATCGGCCGAATTTTTGTCAGAACGAATAATTGGCCAATATTCACACCGTTAGTGGGGCAATGTTGTCGCTGATTTTCGCGGTTCTTCTCGTTTCTTTTTATCAGTCATGCTGGAAAATCTACGAAAACCGTCCATTTTTCGTAAGCATTGGTGGCAGCATTGGTGGCAGCAATGACCGATTTTTCGTTTATCGGCCTATAAATGACCCCTCTATGGCCAGCATTAGTCCTTAGATAGACCCCGCTCTTCTTCTTCATGTTTCCAGCCTTCATAACGGGCCCATGGCTTAAAAGATTGTCTTTTTATACTTCAAATGACTGGTAAACATCCCATTTACATTTTTTTTTTATTGTGAGAATGCGATCAACAAGAACAATGGCAGCAACATTTGGCCAACAAGTCAAATCAAGAAAGACAGTATACAGTATGTTCATATAAGTTGAGAGAGACCTAACAAAGCTGGGTCTAGAGATGTACATTAAAAAAACATTTGAGTGGATGGCGGTCAGACTAGTTGGACTACTAGCGAGCAAAGGGAAGAGAGCGCATGTACTGTATTCTAACAGGTAAAACTACATGGTATTAAACTGATGTGTCTTATTGGAGAGTTGAGCTGTCTGTGGAGGACACTTATTCAGTAGGTGACCATACTGGCCAGATGGACCAAGGTCTAAGGCAGGCCATAGCCGATAAATGAAAAATTGGTCGGCCCTGTTGCCGATGCTGCCACCCATGTCCACAAAACAAAATGGCCGTTTTTCGTGGTTTTTCCAGCATGACCGATAAAAATAAATTAGGAGATCCGTGAAAAAGGGCTGACGGGCTGGCCCCACTAACGGCATGATTATCGGCCGATAAACGACCCATCTATGGCCTACATAAAGGGGGTATGTTGATGCATAAAGCTTGAAACAGAACGGGCTTGGTATATGGTGCCTATGTAGCAGCTAAAACCTGAACACTTCACACGTGGCACAATAGATAATCAACAATGCTGTGTAAGATTAATGTAGCATTAAAATATAAAAGTAACACTTATTATTTATAAAACTGGCTACTTACACTGCTCTCCTTATAGCACCAGTCATGAAATGCAGAGATGCACTTTAAGTACGGCGACTGTCCCCGCACAGGTGTAGGACGAGGACTGGAGACAAAATTACTGCGCTATAATTCACTGCTGACCTAACAATAGCATTTAGTCATATATATTATTCACTCGGGCACATAATATTGAATTATGCAGCCCACATTTATTTGTCTTTGTGCACATTAACAAGACAATGAAACTTTTCTGCATAAGCATAACTTCCTGAGAGAATTAACCCCTCTTTCTGCGCCATCTCTTTATCTTTCCCAGTCTCCTTCACTTTAACATCAAAGAGTTTCAATTATTCATGATCCCTGTAGTGCTGAATGGACAAATCCTCTGCAGACGCTGAGTCTCAGGACAAACATTACACAAGAGTATTATATAGGGGTAGAGAATACTCAACCTCAGGGAGGCTCACAGCATACACTAGCAAAGAGGGGAGCAGTGTGATTCTAATGTCCACACCAAGCTGAGCAACAGTGTTCTGTTCCCAGGAAACTGAACTTTAAATCCGATAGAAAAGACAAAAATTAATGCAGCTTGTAATCTTTAATATATCATTCAATGTTAAAGTGATTGTAAAGCATCCCCGATCCTCCTCTTCTTAAGCCCCCCCACTGGCTCTCCTGGTGATGCTTGCTTTGGGGGAACTCGTGCATGCTTGCTTCCGAGCCACCTCTGTGTGTCTATAAGGCACCCTCTTCACTGCCTGTGATTGACTGCAGCGGAAGCTGTTGGAGGGGGGGCTTTGGTCAGATATCAAGGTTCTATACAGACCCCTGAAATCCCACTTTTTAGGGCTTATGTATACTGCAGCTCCTAAACTGACGTTCAGGAGCTGTTCAGCGTTTTTTTTCAGCAGTCCCTGAACTCTCCATAATGTTTTCCTATATGTCCATGTACAGCACAGTGGCTAAATGGTTAGCACTTCCGCCTGGCAGTACCAGGGTCGCTGGTTCGAATCCCAACCCCAGCACTACCTGCCTGGAGTTTGCATGTTCTCCCTGTGCCTGCGTGGGTTTCCTCTGGTTTCCTTCTACACTCTAAAGACATGCGGGTAGCTAAATTGGCCCTATGTGTAAATGTGAGTTAGGGACTTTAGATTGTATGCTCCTTGAGGGTTAGGGACTGATGTGAATGTACAATATATATATATGTAAAGCGCTGCATAAAATGGACAGTGCTATATAAGTACCTGTAAATAATAAATGTACCCAATGTTGTTTGTTTAACTTGCGTTCAGGAGTAGATTTTACCGGCGTTTCAAATGCAAAACGCTTGTAAACGTGTGTAAACACTGTTAACTGCGTTTATAAGCATTTTTTAACTGTTCCATGTCCAGATGCTGTTCAGAGCCTTTTTCTCATCACCAGAAATGCATGAAAAGCAGTTTCCATATATTCAAATGGACCCAGTACACCAGCGTAGTCAGTTCCAGGTTTTGCGTGAAGCAAAAAATGGTAGAACGAACGTGCTGCATTATGCTCATGATGGGATCCATAGTGAATACAACTAGAAAAGATAGGTAATCTCAACATATACTGATCTTTCTGCTTCTGCTCTCTCTATTCCTCTCAAAATGTCTGAAATAGTTAATTTTTTACTATTTTTCAGTGCATTCTGCGCATTTGGGAAGGTCTCCTGAGGTTATCTTTTAAAAACGCTTCTAAAAGCAAATGCACATAAACGCGGTATGTAAACGCTGCTAAACTGACGTTGTTTAACTTACGTTTTCTAGCAGTCAGCTTCTATCGTTCAGAAGAGTTTTCCAAACGCCCCGTGTACATGAACCCTTAGACAGAAAAAGGAAATGAGGAAACATATTCCCCAGTTCCCTTCTGGAGCCTCAGCTGCACTGCAGATGAATGGACAGGAGACAGAGGCTCCTGTACATTTATAAACTGTTGTTTATGTTCATTTATCCACCTAGTTCACCTGGTGACCTGTCACAGGGCTGCTATTAGAGACCACGGGGCCCCATACGGCCAACCTGACAGGCGCCCCCCCCCCCCCCCCCCCAAAAAAACAGTTTACTAGGCTTCAGTTATGAATGAACATAGTGAGTGATCAGTACCAATCACTCATTGTGTTCATTCAGGAATGCA